TTGAACCACCGGTAATGTTCCAGGAACTAATAAAGATCCAGAAATCTCTTCACACCAAGGCTCCCCTTGAAGGGATGACTAGGACACTGGAGAGGACAAGAAGTAGGACTAGGACTCAAAGAATGTAACATCTATAGACACAAACCACTTGCGAGACGGTAGGTGATAACACTTATAGCCTTTTTGAGTAGGCAAATAACCCAGGAAGACACATTTAATAGAATGAGGATTCAATTTAGCCCGAGTAGGGGAATGGTTGTGAACAAAGCAGACACACCCAAAAGTTTTAGGGGGAACAGAGAACACAGACTTGGATCCTAAGAGCACCTGAAGAGGAGCGTGCTTGTGCAATACTTGGGTTAGGAGACAGTTGATTAGATAAGCAGCAGTGAGAACTTCTTTCCCCCAGTGAGACCAAGGCATATTCATGTTGCAAGACATGCAATGAGTCATATCAAGAAGGTGACAATTCTTGCGTTCCGCAATCCCATTTTGTTGAAGGGTGTTGGTACAAGAAGTCTGATGAATGATCCCATGGGTGGAAAAATAGCTCGTGAGGCCAGAATCGAGATACTCACCCCTATTATCAGAGCGCAATATTTGGACAACCGTCCCAAATTGAGTACAAAGCATTTGATGGAAATTACGAAACACAGACTAAACTTCACTTTTGTCTTTCATAAGATACACCCAAGTAGTACGAGAAAAATCATCGATAAAAATAACAAACCAACAATGACCTTTTGAAGACACAATACGAGATGGACCTCAAACATCAGAGTGAATTAAGGAAAAAGGCACCAAACTTTTATTAAGACTGGGAGCAAAAGAAGCTTTGTGTTGTTTCCCCAGTTGACACAACTCACAATGACACTCCGAAACATTATTGTTTGTAAAAATAAAAGGAAATAAATGCTTAAGTAATAAAAAAGACGGATGTCCAATCCGCCGTTGCCACAACCACAGCCACAGCCACAGCCACAGGTCTTCCTTGGTGGTTGGTAACCGGATGGATTGATGAGCTAGCTTGTATGCCTGATCAAGGATATAGAGACCCTTTTCTGCTCTACCACTGCTAATCATCTGCCTTGTGATAAGGTCCTGAAAAAGACAATGATCAGGAAACAATGTCACCCTATAGTTCAAATCCCGAGTAAGACGGCTCAAAGATAAAAGATCCACAAAAAATTGAGAACATGTAAAACAGAAGATAAAGGAAGAGAATGAGTAGAATGGATTAAACCTTCTCCAGAAATAGAAAAAATAGTACCATCAGCAATTCTAACTTTGTCCTAATCAGAAGACCCAAACATGTTATCGAATGCACTGGAATCAATAATCCAAGATAAAGTCTTACGTAAGAGGAAAGCACTTGTAGAAGAATCTAAGTTACCTGAGTGGGTAAATGAAGAGGAAGATGCACCTGCAAAAGTAATGAAAGGCCAGCGGTCCAGTAATTGACACAGAGCATCTTCAAACTCAGAAGTGAACATACCAGACACATCACCAAAAGGCTGAACAACTGCAGCAGAATCATGTGTATCAATTGTACCAGAATGATGGGCATGTGGTGTGGATCCACGTCCTCTAGACTATCTAGATCGATCCCCTCAACTACCAGAGCGATCACCACGACCGCTAGATGGAACCCCATGAAGCTTCCAACAGGTCTCATGAGTGTGTCTAGGAAGGCGACAATAATCACAAAATAAATTATCCTTCTCAAAAGAATTACGCGTACCACGGGACACACGATCCCCATCTCTAGGAGGAGCAGAAATTAAGGCTGAGCACTCTGTGGAGGCAGGAGGAAGCATGGCAGAATGGTGACTTTCCTCATTCTACACATATGCGAACGCGTCCTGAAGAGAAGAAAGCACATCCATGCCAAGAACACGACTCCGAATAGGCAAGAACACAACTCCAAACAGGATCAAATTCCACATTTAGACCCTCCAAAAATTTGAAGACCCGCTCTTGCTCAACAAACTTGCGATAAACCACGGAATCAGTCAGACAAACTGGTTTATAATCCTGAAGATGATCGAGATGCTTCCAATCATTGCTAAGGAAAGTAAAGTACTGAAGTATAGTCATCTCACACTGTACTGAACGTTCAATAGAGCAGCGTAATTCAAATGTCTGTGAGAAATTCCCTTTCCGAGAATAAGTAGCAGCCGCAGCCTCCCAAATGTCCTATGTAATATCTATAGACAAGTATCCTTCACCAATTTCAGGAACCATAGAGTGTATGAGCCATTCCATAATTAGAGAATTTGTAATCTCCCACTGGTCATAACTAGAATTTGTGGTGTTAGGTGCTTGTATTCTCCCATCAACATAACCCATATTCCCCTTTCTCTTCAAAAAAAGGGTCAGACTCAGCGACTGTGCTAGGTAATTGTGACTATTAAATAGAGAGGTGGTGATTTTAAGGCTAGGATTCAGGTTGTTAGGTGTAGTAGTTATTACAGGACTCTCCCTCTTAGGTGACTAAAAGGTAGTGGTGGATTTATTGGTCAATTTAGCTATGTATAATCTACTATATTAACCCAAGAACACTGCACTAATCACAAAAAAAAAGGAAGGATGGAATGGAATGAACAAGCAACGTGTAGCACCAGACCACTATGGGAGCATCATATTCAGATTAATGGTCTATATAACAAATTAAACGAGGAGGAAAGGAACCACCACTCAAAATAGAGGTTGTATGATAAAAAAAAAATTATAAAAAAGAGGTTTTTAGATGTAGAACAAGCGGTATGGTGAACCAATCAATACATACCCAGAACAAGAGTCCCACAGATACCTCAAGAGCCGACAGAGAACAGGAAGGCTACTGATGGAGCTGAAACAGACAGAGGGACTGTCGGTCGGGCAGAAGGACTGCCGACTAGTCCTGGTGAGCATCCGGCGATAGGTTACCAGGCCGGGGTGGCCTTCGGCAATAGTCAACTAGACCTGGGTGACCTTGGTAGTGGTCGACTAGGCCTGGGTGGTCTCCGACAGCAGGCGACTAAGCCTATGGTAGCTTTAATGGCTATCACAACCCCTAGATAGACCAGGTAGGTGACCAAAACTTGTTGGGTGGTTATGTGGTGGCTGGCTGAAGGTGTATAGGTTTAGGTATATGGCTCTGATACCATGATCGATTTAGGGATAATAAAACTTAAGGAATAGAATGATCTTATTCCCCTTTATATTAATCAAAAATAATTTAATTACAAGGAAGCCCTAAGGCATAAAATTAGCAACTAACTAATTATGGCTAAGGAAAATAAAACAAATAAATATAACATTATATTATTCTAACAACATGACCATCAGAATATAAGCACTGGGAACTCTAATTAGTTGTTTGCACTTCAATCTCTAGATGTTTGGATGCCCCATGGAAATTGAATGAGTTCATTGATTGCAATTGGTCGGAGACAAGCCAACCCCATCCTACCCATTAAGAAAAAAAAATTTCGTTATCTATCATCGTTCCTATATTCACCCTTTCATTGTTGTTGTAATTTCTTCAAGATCATATACGACCCCAAGGTGCCAGGGTTTGGAGTCTGAAGCTCTTTGAAGAGATTTGTAATTAGTTTGGGTTTCTGTGCTTTATTTTTTACTTGTTTTAAGATAGATCTTGATGACTATAGAAAAGTCTCAAACTTTGTGTTTCATGAGAACAAAACCCCAAATTATGCTTAGTTTAATCTATGTTCCATATGTTGAGTTGAAGTTTCCTGCACCAGGTGAGCAAAAAAAACAGGCCCCATAAGATCAATAGAGAAAGGGTTTTGTTTCTATTAACTTAATTTGGGTTGATACAAAGCTCTACATGTGCTAAGTTGGGATGAAAAATAGTGCTTTCCATACTGATAAGGATATATGTGCAGCACTAGTTTAGGAAATTCTTCTAATTGCTTTTTTAGGGCCATCACATTCCCTTCTGAAGCCTTGGCATATTTTCTTTTTTGTCGCATTCGAATTCTAGCCTCTTGATCATTTTTATAATGGAAGGGGAGGAAGACAATGTTATGGTGAGAAGGGAATAAAGATTTTTTGCATTTTCTGTTAACATTGTTAACTGTGCATTTTTGTCCCAAACCATGTGAGTGTGAGTTGCATATTTTTAAAAGACGGGGTGAAGTGCTCCGAGCTAAACCATAAGGTGGTAAATGGAATTTGCCCATAAATATATTTGTTAGTATAGCTTGTTACACATCTTCAGCCATTATACTTGGGATTTGCCTCCACTAGTACTAAAACACTTTTCCCCCATAAATATATTTGTAAGTATAGTTTGTTACACATCTTCAGCCATTAAACTTGGGATTTGCCTCCACTAATACTAAAACACTTTTCCCCTTTACCAGCATGTAATAGATAAGCCTTAAGTTTTAAGTCTAAATACCCCTCGCTTTATTCAATAATATACAAAAAAGAAAACAATTACAACTAGCCATGTTGATGAGGACTGTAAAGGCATTGGATGACAATAAATTGAAGAATCTTTGAATTTTGGTATTATCAGGAGTTATGATTTAAAAAGATTCTATGTCTTTAGGATTTTGTATCTTTATTAGTAGTTTCCAATTCCATAGTTTCCTAATTAGATGGTGCTTATGCCTATATATATGGCCTTTTATGTAGTAGTTTGGATACCTAGACTTTGATGATTAATTATTGGATGTTGAGTTTGATTTCTGAGAGACATTTAGGGAGTGAAATTCCCGTTTATTCTTCTTGTCTAAAAACCCTATTTTTTGGTTATGCCATTCTTCATCTTTTGGTTCTACACCACATGTCCTATAAGATGTTAAGTAACTAAAGTGAGTTCAGAACTCACTAATGCAAACGGGCAGGCACATCTACTAAAAATGTAATATTTCAGTCAATTGTAGAGAGTACAACAGTAAAGAAACTTATCACAAATTATGGTGCCATTTGCAAAATTTGTAGCGGCAAGAAGATGGTTTCCAAGATTATGATTCATGTCATACCGCTGACAGTAGTTGTGCTTTCTGGAACCACGAGAGTTCATCAAACCGGATGCTGTGAACTTTAGATTGGAAACTCTCCTCCCATGCATAACATCTGAATTAGTTTAGCATAAAATCAAAATAATCATTGTTAACAGCCTAAAGTAGTACATAAGCTTAAGTAAAACCTAGCAAAGATTAAACTATACTTCACAGTGTCCATGGCAGCCAAGATTTCATTCATCAGCCCAACTCTCTTATCAGTACGTTGCAATCCTTCCTTTGACAGTTTTCTCATTTTGCTTATGATAAATGTCTGTTCCCACAAGATAAATTAATGTATAAGAGTTCTGAGCAAAAGAGTGGAAGATACAGTGACTACAGTAAAATAGTTATAAATCTTAAATTCATGGGCACTGAACAAAGTAAAGAACAATGTTTCCTTAATATCTCCAAGATCTTGTGACATCTATCTGAATGCTCAAACATTAACTGCAATATTTCCTATGGTCCCTAAACTTAATCAGGTTTCAAAAGCATAGAACTAAAAGCACTATGAGGTCTAAAAGTGACCCATTCTGCCCATCAATATAACTTTTGAATCAAAGAATCACATTCAGAGTAAGTTAAAATTGGCCATTGTGGACCAGTCAATGGACATCTGCTGCCAAAAAGAAAATTGGTTAGGAATAAGATTAAGCTTACTCTTTTAAGTCCTACAAAATGCTATTACATGTATGGGACTCTTCTGTAGTAGATGTTGATGAAAAGTGTGTCTGACTGTTCTGTCTCTACACAACACTTGTTTCTTCAATCTCAACACATAGTGTACAACCATACTACAATAATTAAAGTCATCCATATTAAAACAAGTACTTTTAGCTCCAACCAAAGACGTATGCTGTACTCAGTGGGGGATGCAGAAATTGTGCAAGGGGGTGGGGGGGCTAAAGCAAAATTATTTAAATTTTAGAGGAATTGAAATAAGATTATATAGATTTTGGAAATCAGAATATTAATTTATTTTACAGAAACTCAAAATGACATGAAAGTATGAGATTTGTCAAAGGTTTGGGGTGACTTAAATACTAATGTATTCTACAATTACTAAAAATTGCATAAAAACAATGAATTTTTTTTTAAATTTAGGATAGCAAAAGTAAAAAGTTTTAGATTTTGGAAGGGTTGGAGTAAAACTATATATATTTTGAAGGGGCCAAAATACAAACTTCTTTTATAAATATTCAAAATTGCATGGCCAAAATGCAATTTTCCAAAAGTTTGGTTGGGTGGAGGGGGGAGGGGAGGGGAGGGCGGTGGTGGCCCCTATTGAGTATTACTACTATATCTGCCTTCAAAGACACTAGGGGTTCTTCCATAAAATAAACTGACAGTTGAATTTTGTAATAAGGCATTAAGGTTGAATATAGAGAGATAATAGAGATAATATTATCAGCTCAAATGAATAAATAAAGCAGATTTAGATGTAGAAAACAATTAAACTAAAGCATACAGAAGTATGATAATTTAATAGATTGGATAATTGGACTTTAATTGAACTGTTTACTTCAAAACCATGGACACACACACACACACACACACACACACACTCTACTCCTACCTCCTTTATTTCTTTTCTTTTTTCTATTATTTCTTTTAGAACCCCCCAATATTTCATTTTGAGCCATGCCTAACTTTCATCTCTTTCTAAAATTTGTAGCTCCTTGATTTAAGAACACTCACACAAGCATGACTTTTGTTCCTTAAAATATTTTGAAATGTTAAATCATCAAAAATAGTATAATATCAGGAAAACATTCGAATAGATGAACAAGAGGAGTGCTTATGAAATTCTGGGTGCCTTCCTAGTTGCTGACGCCATTTAACAACCATTCCCTAGACAGAATAGAATGGGAATAAAAAATGCTAAACACGGTCAACCAAAAAAGATGGTTAAGATTTTATTCAAAGTACATGGAATCCAAAAATTTTCAAAACACACACACACACACACACACAAAAAAAAAAAAAAAGAAGAAGAAGAAGAAGTCAGAAACAACATTAATAAGTAATGACAAGACTTGAAAGAAAAAGATCATCACATGCAACACACCATTAAGACAAAACCTTTATGCAGCTTCAAAGCAGCAGGAAAAACTATGGTTACCTGTATGGGGAACATTAGAGCTAACATTAGGGATCCAGGAAGTGATGCAGCACCCAATTGCTCATAAAGAAGAACCATAGCAATAATGATACGAAATGGAGCTGACCATAAACCATGAAGTTGTTGGCATATTTGCTGAACAAAGGACATACGAGTTTATAATTCAATCCAAGCAACTGCAAAAGACTACCAAAATATGCAGACATGATTGGTACCAAAATCAAGTATAGACCAAAGTCAGTCATATCATAAAATGCATCCCTTGCAAATCAAAATTGCTAACTATAACGAGTCTGTATTATTGCAGATTGTCTTTAATTTTTCATATAAGTTTCTAGCAATAATGATACGAGTCTGTATAACCTTGGTGGGGGACAGAAAATTGTACTTCATTTTAAAACTATAAGGTCAAAATTATTATTATTATAACAATTATTATTATTATTATTAATATTATTATTTTGTATTCGAAAGACAAGAGGACTAGAGCCCCTGATATTTTGTTTGAGAGACCAACTAGGTTCCGATTCCCAACTCAAAATAAAAAACAATGGATTGGAAAGAAAAAATTACCAGCTGAATTTCAAAAAAATGAAAATCCAAGAATTTTTTTACTTGACATGTATACTTTCAGACATGGCATACTTGTTGCAGACACATTTCCCAAATAATGTAATTACATGTGAATCATCACTAGTTTTCTTCATACATACAGAGAAGTCCCATGAAAAGTTCTGACAATTGAGAATTGTCAATTTATTCTCTTTGGAAACAGTCATGGTGAAATTGATGACATCATAATATTATTCAGAATAGAAAGAGGACAAACCATTGTCTGACTTCCCAAAACTTCATCAAAATTTCATACTTGTAGTGTCCTCAAATAGATATAATATAAAAGCATAATGAATTTAGCATTGGGCATAATAAGGTTTATTTACATGTGAGGTTGTGTGCATGTGCATAATTATTAAAAATAGCATGCCTGAAGTGCATTAGCATCGGTTGTCATCAAATTTGTTATCTTTCCAGATGGGAACTTCTTGTGACCTTCATGGGTTAGTCTTAAGGATTTGTGAAATACAGCAGCCACCTACAAACGAGAAAGTCAAATTAAGTTGGTGCTTTCAAATTGGCAAGACATCATAGAACTCCAAAAGAATCTACATTGAACATTACCAATATCACCAACCATAACAACTGATTAACATTTCATTGACATCTAAAAATGGGAAATGAAAATTCTTTGTGAGCTATATTTGACAGCATTTGGACAAGTGTCTGGGTCAGTCATCACAAAAGTTTGAAAAAGGGAAATATGATCAAGAAGTTTTCATGAGAAAACTAATAATATGACCATGGTTAATATCTATTATGGCATTTGAAGGGCCCACAGTTTACGTAGAGTTTTATTTTCTTCCTCATGTAAAAGAGATGCATTACTTATTTCAAGAGCACCATTCTCACCAAAATAAATAAAATACCTATCACACAATTAGAATAATATACCAGCTGTTTTCTATCTTATACTTCTTCTCTTGGTCATTGACTTTTCTAAACTATATCATTTCGCTTCCTCCTTGAGCCAAAGTTTTTTGCCAAAAATCAGGAAGTTTTAAACCTCAGGCATAAGACATGCTCAAGAATCCTGGTCTGTTCATATCAAAACCTAGAGAAAAATTGATAAATAGACATGCCGGATGATGTAAATTGAATAGAGAACAAACTTCTGCCACAAGCAGATTCATTCAAACTCTTCACCCAAGCCCTCGGTATGCTAGAAGAAACCCCTAATCCGATTATGTAAATCTAATTTTTATCCCCAAAATCTGATAAGGTATGTAGTGTACTGTTGGTTTTCTTGTATTTGTGGCAGCCCCGGGTCAAACAAGTAATGCTAATGCAGTAAAATAAACATGTTAGGTGATACAAAAAACAACCAAAATTGAAAGAGAAATACAGAAATAAACCACATGCAGATCTTAACACTATTATTGGAGAAAGAGAAATTACCAAAGTTGATCTTAGCCTGAAACCAACACGTAAAACATTTTGATAATACTGAGCTTCACAAAGCACTCCAACTGACTGAACCATGGAAAATCATCTAGTCAATGCAATGATCGCAAACTACAAGTACAACTTCCATGATCAGTTGTACTCCAGGCATAAATTATCTTAGAAAAGAATGCTTATAGAAAGCAACTTCTTAAATCTTTTAGTAACAAGGATTAACAACGACAGTTTAATGTTCAGCATAGAGAACATTCAAAATAACATATTCAAGAATATGCAGTCCTAGAACTTTTTGCTCTCATCAGAAAACTGTGGAATGTGACTTCAATATTCAACAACATAAATATAAGGACAGAATTAATAAATTGTGGAAGAGAATAAAAACTACAACCAATTTAGTTTCTATTTGATGGGGGTCTGGAAGGGGTTAGATTGCACAGTCAAAATAAAAGAAAGATAAAACCTCCAAAAACTTCTCCCAAGAAATTTTAAGTCCTCGGAAAGAGCCTGAGTTTCACTTAGTTCCCAAAAAAACCTCAAATATCATTAACGTCTGAATATAGATCTCTTTCTTCCCCTTCCTTTTTATTTTTCAACAAATGTCTCAGATTGTCTTCTCATTCGTGTCTCATTGTCATTTTCATATATCTTTTAGGTTGTATCTCCCATTTCAAGACTTAGACAGCTTTTGGCAACTTCAAATGAGTAATTGCTTTAAATATTTGAAACACCTAATTGTATGCCTTAAGATGTTGAGTCTGAAAGATAATTGCAATATACTATTCTTCCTCAAAATTTCAAGTTCAATCCAAGCCCATCCTATGGTCATGATATAAAAAGTTTAGACAGTGTTTACTGGCCATCGAATTAGTACACAAGGCAAATCATTCACTCATTCACATTTGGATGAATGCCGTTCTTGTCACCAGAAAGGTCACTGGAAGGCTCAGTGTCCTAAACTTTTACATTGGCATCTCCACATCTTTGGCCGGTGTTGGTCCTGTTTCGAATGATTTCCTCTCTCTTTTTTATGTATATTGTATTTCCTAGTGGATTTTGAATTTAATTTCAATTAATAAATTTTGTGATGTTAGTTCAAATTAAATTAAAGAAGAAAAATGACCCAGATAATTAATACTAAACCCGTACATGTGATATCTCTAGAATGCCAAATGACATGTAATATTTATTAGTGATTATTTAATGAAATTAATAGCATTCAAAGGAGGAAAAAGAAAAAGAAATACTAAAGGAAGAGCAATTTACTCCCTTGAGAAAAATAAATATGAGATAAATCTGATACATATTTTTTTTAACATAAATACTTCATAAAAATAAGAAGGATAGAAATCATACCACCCCAACAAAGATTGAGAAGGCATAAATGTAGCCAACCCATGCTGGATCACCTCGTTCCATTGACTGTAATCAGTAGTATCATAAACTTTGTAGGCCAAATACAAACTATAAAGCTCAAATGGCATCCTTCGCATACATAAAAATGAGAAGTAAAGGGCGAACACAAGAGTGGGAAAAAAATATACAAGATTTATAGTATTATAAAGAAATTATGAGCTTACCTAGTAAGTATATATTATAATTTCTTATTTCAGTGAATATTGACTTCATGAGCTCAACCTACTTTTTTCAATATATAAGTGTTCCTAACTGTGAATGATTTAATTGGCTACAAAACTATTTTTAGGTACATTTTTGCACAATCTTTTTTAAGGGATTAATAAATAATAATAATAAAAAAGTAAAAAGAGGAGATGGACAAACATCCAAAAAGCATGTGTATCAATAAGATGATATGGAATTTTGAAAAATTGCTTAGAATTACAAGATCCATATTATATCTCAAAAAGCAAAGTGGAAGTGCTTCATATTGCATTATTGGTTGTGTTAGGATTAAAATGAATACTTTTAGGAAAGTATTAAGCACTATAAAATTTGATAAAAAAGCAAATTTTCAGGAACTAATTTTTTTGGTACAAATATAAATTATAGATTATAGTTACCCATGCCAATTCAACAAATTTGTTAATTCAGCAAATTAAATAGATTATTACAAAACATTTTTAGTTATTCGGAATTGAAAGTTTTTAATCAATTTTAATAGAATTTTGAATTTATAAAATATAAATAAATATGTCCTTATGGAGTTCGAATTTCCTGAAGTTGAAGATCTCAACTCCATAGATGAAGTTGGTGCATTGTGGGACCAATCTGTACTCATCACAATAATTTGAACCGTTCATCTCATATGATAAGTAGAGAAGAACATGCATGCAAAAAATTTGGTTGATCAAACGTAAGTAATCACATATATATTATAACAAATGAACAGTCCATTCTAAAAAACATGTATGTCATATGGATAAAAACAATATAATGGTATGACAATCGATGTTGGATCAAATTGGTTTTTTGCATGGATAATTTTCTCTGTTAGTTGTATGAGATGAACGGTTTAGATTACCGAAGTAGGCCCAAGTTTGTCCTATAATGGGTCAACTTCACAGTGAAGTTGCGATCTTCAACTTTAGCAAATCTAGACTCATCTTGATGTTATTGATCAATTGATTTATAAGGCAATAGATCCAAATTTTCTTAAATTATAGACTTTCAACATGTATACTGTCACGCCCCACCTTTTATTACTCGGAGTCATTACCAAATTCTTTAACTTAATTCAATTTCAGAGATAACATGCGGAAATAAACTCATACATTCAATCCGTAGAAATGATTAACAATACTCTCATTCGTATGCAAAGTAAACATTACATGAACTAACTTAATAATGGAATGGAGATGGAAATTGAACTTCCATTTTTATTCAATTTCCTTTTCTGTTCAATTTCCTTTTTTATTTAATTCCCAAATAGATCGTTAAGGTGTAATGGTTTTTTGAATGAACTTCCGTGTTTTCCCATTTCACAAAATGAATTCCACTTCCTTTGTTTTCACAAAATCATGCCCAAGGACAAAAGCCATAACTCATTTAAATTCACTACATTCTTTTCAAAGCCAGTTCGAACTAATTATGCAAATTAAGTCATAAACAATAAATTAGGGTTTTCCTTCCTCTTTCTCAATATTGACCAAAAAGGCCTAATTAACATCAACAAACAACAATAACCCCAATTAACACTCGTAATACCTAAGTATTTGCCCAAAGACCAAAACCCCTCAATTAATTTATTAAATCAAATAAGAAAATTTAGGGTTTCCTCTCCTTTCAACAACCACATGCTAATTAACACCCTAATTAGCCCAAATCACAACTAATGTTAATAAACCCAAATTCAACAACCAACCCAAGGTTCAGTCCCATGATTTTCACAAATCCAACATGATACAATTTTTATGCAATACAAAAACTACCACATGTCTATCTATAGACGAAGTATTGAAAAGAAACAAGGAGAATCCCTACCTCGAACGAAGAACACAAATGGAGAAGATGACCCAAAATCCAAGTGCTCCAAATCCACTATTTTTCAGATTAGAATGAAGCTCAAGCCGCCCTCTATCTTATTAACAAAGGACCTAGGATGGATTCACACTAGAAGTAGATGAAAACCTAGAAAGAAGATGAGTTTAGAGAGAGAGAGAAGTCGTACCTAGGGTTTGGAAACTAGAAGAGGATGAAAAGACTGATCAAAACCCGCTGTTGCCTATTTAAACTGGACAGGCTCGCTCGAGCGAAGACTTGGTCGCTCGAGCGACCAGACACAGGAAAGCCTCGCTCGATCGAAGAAACTCTCGCTCGAGCGAAGAAACACTGCTCACAGGTCTATACTAGATGCAAACACTCGCTCGAGCGAAGAAACCCTGGCTCGAGCCACCAGACACAAAACTCAACCCTCGCTCGAGCGACCAAACTCACGCTCGAGCGACCAATCCAAATTCTGGACAGTAACCCCTGGTTTCAAAACCCAACCAAAACAAAACAAACCTGCCCAACACATCCGATAACTCAAAAGAGAAAATAAAGGATGACAACCACAATTATACATTGAGAGAACCCAAGGAACCTAAGCCCGGATACAACAACCAAAAGAAAAAAGACCGGGGTCGCTATATATACAATAAAAGTAAATAAAAATTTAATTTTCTTAAATAGTAGTTATTCCAAAACTTTTATATTGAAAATTTATGTAATAAAACTCATCACTTTTTGAAATGTCTATGAAATACAGTTGGTTAGAATGTAGGATTAATCTTGCTTTCAATTCTACTGTTAATGTAGTTTGTTCACTTTCAACTTTCAACCCTTTTGTAAGGCAATATTTTCAAGTTTTCTTAAATTTTATGGCCTTTCAACATGAATTATGTGTCGGGTTCTTTGATATATGCTAATTTTTCACTTTTCTTAAATAATTGTTATTCCAAAACTTTTATGTAGAAAATGAGTTATACATTTCAAATTTAGAATTTAACAATTAATGAACCTTCTTAGTTCAAATACTAATATTTTACTATCAATTATTAAAACTATTTTTAATATTTTCTTTCAAATTAATAGGCCTCTCCTCCATAAAAAATAAATAATAATAAAAAAAACCCATATGTGATAATAAAATTTCATTTAAATATTTTAATGAGTCGAATTAAACTCAATACTAACATCCACTTTCCTAAATTGTAAAACCTAAATTTCTAGTAATTACTTGATAATTGGTTGTGCCCTAAATTCTAATTTTTGAACTCTCGTCATTTTCTTCTACTTGTGATTTCTCTTTTCCAATAACTAGGTGATAGTAGTATATGTGACAATAGCAGTGATGGCTGACGATGTCAAGCAATGATACAGCCTTTTTCATCAGCGGCAGATTAAACCGAATTTCAAGAGTCTGGTGGTTTATCTGGGTTTTAGTAGTGGTTGGTTTGGTTTTAGCTGTGGGGGCTAGGATTGGTCAAAGGCATGAAAGGGTGTTTAATTTACCTGGGATCAAATTGTGTCGTAAGTGCCTTCGGCACGAGTAATTTGCTAGTGTACAAATAAGTCAAAGGCCCTTTTATGGGCCTTGGATCACAAAGGAACAAAGATGGGATGCATCACTATGCATTTGAATGGTAAGACTAACCTGTAAGAGATGATTCAACAAAACTGGCCCAACAAACTGAGAAAGATCATCCCCAATCTACAAGATTGTTGAAGAATGATGAGTAAGACAACAAACATGATATAAGTGATTATCATACGAATCATAAGATTTTCAAAATATGAAGAAAAACAAAGAGCAAATTAATAAAAATTTCACCAAGGTTGACTATTTGTCCTAGGACAACTACATTGAAGAAATGTAATGCAAGCTCTAGCCATACTTTACCACAAAATTAAATAACCATAATGAATGCACATGATACGAGCTTTGTTAGTTTTTTTAGGTTGGCAAATTTGCGTGGACAAATCTTTGTGTTGATCATTCACATGTTTTGTTATAGGTTCTACTTGTCTTGTTTAATCTGCTTTGATTTGATTTATATGATGTTTACATTGGACATACTCACTTGTGTTGTTGTGTTGAGTTTCTAACTTATTATGCAGGATTCATTTCGAAGAACAAACATGGTACACTGTCATGTATTGTTTCCCTTTCATTTGTATTTGAGAACACTTAGTCTACGTAAATATGTATTGGTATTTGGTTGAGTCAAGTTTTATCATAGAAAATGGAGATAACAATTTCAGGGGACAAAACTTTTTGTTAATGACTCAATTTCTGTTTGAAATGAGCATCGGTTGTTCAATTGTACTTTTGCAGATGCATGAGTGAGTTGTAAATGTGCCTGGAAGACTTAACAAAGCGAGATGGGGCACAAACAGGAAAGTGTCTCTCCCACTAGAAGAGCAACACCTTAGCCTAGGATAAAGAGCAATCGCTCAAAAGGTGGATCAATTGCTCAAGTTGTGGACTTCAACTCAATAAAAACGTGAGCCCACGTACATTGCTCAAATTACGTTAGATAGTTGCTTGAGCGATGACACTATTCAGGTACCGTAGCAATGTTTACTGGTACTGTTGTTGTAGTGCCAAGCGATAGAGCTATTTATCATATTTATGACATCTTTTGAAGCTAAGATATTGATATTCTCTATAAAAATGTCTCCACGCGTGCCTATGAAGACAAAGCCGTACGGTGAAAAAACAAAGGTGGATTTCACAGGAACATGAGGTAAAGATGGATTTATGACACAACTTTAATTTGTCTTTCACTAGGAGTAGAGAAAATCTAATGAATGTTTCTTTAGCCCTACACGTGGATGGAAGGATGGGGTAAAGCCATCATGGAACATGGCATATGGAGTCATGAATCATGGAGTAAAATCTATGGAGTCATGAATAAAGCTTTTATTGCAGAATCTATGAAGTCCAAATGGCCTTGTCTTGGAGATTTGTGAGATGGACATTCTATATATATATATATAGAGAGAGAGAGAGAGAGAAAAGAAATGGAGGTTCTCTAGAAACTCGGTGAGAGAAACACATGATAAGGATACTCCACATTTACCTCTCCAAGCACGCAAAGGTTTTTCCAACCTCTCTATATTCTTCGAAGCGTTCATCTTTTAGAGAGGAGCTATGCCGAAATTCTTCCAATTCACCTCGTCACCATTTGTAACAAAATTGAGGTGTCTTAGTTATACTCCAAAGGCAACAAGAGTTGAAAGAGAAAATCATCGAAGTGCACCATTGATTGCCATTGGTTAGAGACGTTGCAACAAGGATCGAATTTTGCAAAATCCATGGAAGATGAGTTCACATTCAAGAAAAAGGGTTTCAAACATGTGGGTTGTGGCTATAAGATTCGTTGTGTTTGGGAGGAAATGAGTTTTCGTGGACTACAAGAGTTCAAATGTGGTAAGTAAGTGCATCTGAGGTACTAGTTATAAGTCACTTAACTTCGGTCTTGTACTAATCTTTTGAATAGTGTATTATCTTAACCGGAAAGGTGTCTTTGGTTTTTCTATTTTGGAGGGTTTTTCTATTAATCTTTTGTGCATTCATGTGGATGCTTTGATTTACTGTTTACTATCTTTCCTAACAATAATCATAGAAATTTCAATTGAATGGTATAATTACCATTGAAGCCTATTCACCTCCCTCCCCTTTAGGCTATTTACCTCATCCATTATGCAGTTTCAATTGGTATCAGAGAAAGCTAGAAAGCCCACTCATTTTTTGTCGAACAACCAGAGTGAGATCTTATATATTTTGTAATGGAGTAGACTAGAGAGTCTTCTTAATTAGAATTTTTTTTGAACATTAATGATGAAGAGGTCTCTATGCTAGCCCAAGAGACGGTATTCAAAGAAGCCGGATGTTTCATATGGTGAGAAAGAGGATTCAATTTGTGAGCCTATGTTCCAAGTATAAAGAGTGTCTTAAACTAAAAAGGTGTAATGACTAGGGAAAATATGAACTTTTAATTAATGTAATTGAGCCCCAATTAAGTTTAATTAATTGTAATTAAGCCCTTGAGTTTTTCTATTCACTTCAATTTAGACCTACGTCGGTTAATATTCTGTGCATCTGATTGTCTCAGTTTGTGTGCACTGATTCCCAAGCTGACCCGAGACTCGAGGGATAGACCCTTTGGGCCCAGTGTACGATGTTAATATGACCATAGGGTCAATCCTGTTAAATTATAATTTAATTACTTGTTGAGAGGTAGTGCGACGATTGTCTCAATTTGTGTGCATCTAGACCCGAATTGACACGAGACCGACAGATGGACTCATCGGGGCTGGCATTATATGTTTTAATATTAATTTAGTGTTGTCAATTAATCTAGGAGGTATTATGGTAAATTAGGAATCCCAATGCACGTATCGCCTTGTTTGCGCGCGTGTGGGCTCGATCCAATTTGAGATTCAAAATATGGACTCTGCGGACCCCATATTTATTATTTCTATGTTATTAGTTTGTATTTTATTGTTATTAGTAGACCTTGAGAATTTCACGAATTTCTAGTCCAGAAAACGTACATTTTCTGGGTTCGAAACTATACAAATTTGAGCTAGAGTTTTGGGAGAAAGTCCAAAACCCTTAAACAATGCAGAATACATAATTTTTGGGGTCCTAGAGGAGCCTCAACAGCAGCCCACTCTCTCTCCTCACATGTGTTCTTACTTTACCTCTTTTATGGACTTCTATTTCTTACAAAAGTTGGTACCTTTCTTACACATGCACAAGAGAGGAAATGTTTGCAAGAGTTGTGCTAACTAGGATTATATGTATATAAGATTGGTTATATGTATATAATTATATTGAATTCAAAATGAAAGGCGTAGATGCATTTCTTCTATCAAGATCAAGTTAGGACCTTTGGAGTAAGTTTTATTTAAAATTAATCAAGAAGCTAATTGGTCATCATTCGAAAGGGGTTGTGTAGGGATTGGAAGAGAAGGAAAACATTTCATTTTCCTTCCTCCTCCTCTCTCTCTCTCTCTCTGTCTCTTGCTTTTCTTAGATTTCTCTTACCAAAAGCCTTGTTGATCCTTAGTTGTTGGATCAAGAGTTAAGTTTAGTGTTGGTGAGCTTCATACCTTGATTTTTGGAGAGATTAGTGAACTTGAAAATTGATTTTTGGCTTGGATTGAAGACTTTTGTTGAAGAATTTGGGTGGTCTTGGTGTTCTTGAAGCCTGCACTCCATTTCTACCTCTTCTCTTCCTTTCTCTTTGATTTCAAGCTTCAAGAGGTAGGGGTTTTCTCATTTTCTTCTTAGAACAACATGTTAGGGTTTATTTCAAGTTAATCATTTGATTTCATGAGTTTATGACATGGTTTGTCATGAAAAGCATTATTTAAATTTTTTTATTTAAATGCATTAAATACATGTTAGTTTATGACACTTTGAATTACTATTGAGTTTGGAGTTAGGTTATCATATTCTAAATTTGAAAAGTATCTTAGTTGGTTGATTTCATCAATTTAGAGTATAATGTTGCCATGTTTCATTTAATTTCATGAAATACAATATTAAATAAATTTGCGGCTTTTGCTTGAATCTCAAAAAGTGTTATCTATGCCATATTCTAAAACTTTTGATGTAAAGAACATAGTAACTTTAGATTTTTGTTAAATCTTGAAAGTATTGCAAATTTGGAGAAAATAATGTTGTTAGATTAGTCATAGGGTTATATAGCCTAGTTAAAAAGATGATTTGATTTGATTTGATTTGATTGAGTCTCGCTATTTTTCTTATGTTTTTTTAAAACTAGTTTGCTTATTAGTTTCTTGAATAAATATATTTCCATGATTATTTTAATGTCGAAGTTACTTTTACGGATTTGTTGGATTATTTAATGAATTTAGAGACTAAAAGGTGATTTTGACCACTTGGGGCAAATTAGTCCATTAAAAGTAAGTTGGGTGAAATTCTTGAATTTATCATATAAGAAATTAAATTGGGGTTAACTGGCGTAAAATGGTAAATGATGTTGTAGTGTCCCGAGTCTAAAATCCAACTCAAACCCAGTTATATGGATGTCCCGATACATTTTCGGATCCTTGGTACAACAGGTTGCGCTTTTGAAGATTGTGATTGAGTGAGTGTAAATTCCTATTTAGCATATAACTTCTTTAATATTCGAGTTTCGGGCGTAAGGACGAAAAATAGAAGTGTAGAAGCCCCTCTATAGGACTCAGACTTAGGTAGGTGTGGCCACATGTGCGGATTGGTGCAGAAGAGTTTGGTGTTGATGGTAGCAGAGCAATTGGCTGCACTTAGGAGCGATCGATCGCCATAGTTGAATTTCGTCTAGTGTAAAAAGCAACGTTGCAATCGAAAGGGGATCAATCACACTGGGAAGATCGACCAGCACGGATAATGCGATCAATCGCTCTGATTATTTATTTTGGATGTGTTTTCAGCAGAACGCTCTGATCTATAGTCGATTGATCTCATTTGGAGAGATCAATTGCTCTTACAAGTGCAATTGATCGCTTTGACTAAAATCTGATTTTAGTATTCCTTCCCTCTCTCTTTCTTCTCTCTTCTTACGAAATTCTCTATATCTCTCTCTCTCTCTCTCTTTCTCTCTCTCTCTCTCTCTGAATCAATACCAAACTCTACAAAACCTTTGATCCACCCCACTTAGGATCTTCATCTTACCTTGGTTCTTTAGCATAAAGTGTAGAACACATTGAGAGCTTCGATTTCACCAAACCAATCATCGTTTTGGCACTTTCGGATTTTTGGCTTTTCCTTCTCCCTCTTCAATTTGAGGTAGGGATTTCTTTAATTTTTCTTAATATGATTTTATAGATGGATATGTGGTATTTTATTGCATATTTGAGGAATTTTTTAGAAATTTCAAAGCATGTATATGAGAACCTAGGGTTTGGTGTGTTGTGAAATTCTTAAACTTTCTCTATTAAATGTGAGTTTTAGAAGCTTTAGAGTATATGAATTCTTTAAAATTTAAAAGTCTCAAATAATCCAAAAGAAACCTTAATTTTTCTTGAAATTGTATAACTTGGAGAAATTACAAATTTATAATCATTTTGAGAAGTAAGGAGTGAATATTACTAATTGAAGAATGATGATTATGGAGGACACATGTTGGGCAATTGATTACGAGTGATAACAATTCATTGTTGTAGAGTGATAACAATTCATATTTTGGGCAATTGAGTGTATCTCAAATTATTAAATTCGTTGAGACTAATATTATATAGTGTTGTTAGTTATGCTCTAATATTACCTCATTGGAATATTTTGATAGAGATAACTATCATTTGCAATCGGTGGAGGATTGCATTGTTGTAGAAATATGTCAACCTAAGGTGAACTGAAACTCAATTGTAAATGATTAGTTATATAGAAATTAATGTGATGATAACAATGTGATTTTATGAGTCGTGAGATTATGTAACTCAAACGGTGATAATGAGAATAATTTGAGATACACTCAAAATGTGAAATGTGTTGTGCTATATAAAGGTACTGCGTTCCTTTCGGCTAGCAACCAGTAAAGTTGGGGTGTGCTATATAGAGATACCACGCTCCTTCTAGTTAGCACCCGACAAAGTGGAGTTGTGCTATATAGAGGTACCACATTACTTCCGGCTAGCAACCGGTAAAGTGGGGGTGTGCTACATAGAGGTACCATGTTCCTTCTAGCTACCAACCGATAAAGTGGGGTTGTTTATGTGGGGCTTGGCGAGACCACGAATGTATGCACATGTTGTGATAGGTATATGTGTGTGTTGGAATCTTTTGTGAGTTATGTACATGTATTGAGATTAGTTGTAAATCATGTACGTATTGGAGGTTAATATAAATTGAGTAGACTTATTACTGAGTAGGCATGAATGTGAGATTTTAAGATCAAATGGAGACGTCATGGAAATGTTTAGTGCTTTCGGACAAAAATGGAAAAAGACATATATGTGTGTATAATATGGAGCATCATGATCATATATATATGTATAGAATTATAATTGGAATTAAAGATTTTGCCCACTGGACTATATGTTCACCCCACGACGTTAAAATCTTTTTAGGTACAGGTGGTGTACCACGACCATGAGTGGCTTGGAAGATGAGCACGAGCTAGAAGAGATCTTTTGATTGTGGTCACGGGGCCTTTATTTGTAGGCGGAATGCCATATGTGTATTAACGGGGTCACACCCTTTTCTTTTGTTAATGTAAGCCTAAGGGCATCTTAATTTCATTTGATAGTTAGAGCTTTCGAATTTCGTATTGTATTTGAAAAACCTCATGTATCGAATGATTCACATGTATATATACGAGAGAAATTCCATTTTATTATGTTTATTATTGCTTGTCATTATTATTTGGGTTTATTTACCACAAGTCAGACTATATATTTTTGGGGCGTGACAGATGCCTTAAGGGTATTTTGATAATTTGTGCCTGGAGAGCAATTTGGTAATTTAGGCTTTGAGGACATCTTAGTAATTTGTGCCTTAGGGCTATTTAGGTCAATTATGCCATAGGAGCATAATGGTAATTTGAGCCTTTGGGGTATGTTTATAATTTGGGTCCTTGGGGATCATTTTACACTTGGCATATAGTAAATTCTATTTGCACACCCTAAGAATATTTTTCATAAACCTGGATATATTTTTCGCAAACTCCATCCTTATGTTGTATTGCATTTCATGGCAATGTGTGCCAGTGAGATTGGTTTATGAAATTGAGTGTTTCACATGTTTTTCAAAGAACATTTAACCATTACTTCTTCAAAAATAATAAATTGGATGTGTTTGCTAAGGCAAGTCAGTTATATTCCAAAAACACTTCTTTTGGTCACTTAAACTCTACTTAAGTTTAAGAAAAGGATAACAGGCACATCTTGCAATATTATTCAACCAAAGGCCTTTAGGCACATTTTATGAGACAAACCTAATTTTGAGAATTAATTTAGAATTGGCTAAGGAAAATGATAATAAGCTAAGTAATATAGGGAGTTTTCACTTAAAAACCTCATGCTTGGGTTAATTAGTTTTCACCTAATTAATTTTTCAAAATCGGGGTGTGACAAAAAAGAATAGGTTGGACTTGGTGATCAAGTTCAAAACCTTAAAAAAAGAGAGATACCTTTGTGTCTGCTTTGAAGGATAAAGAAGCCACTATAGAACAACTCTAGGCTCAAATAAGACATTTTTTCAAAAGGATAATTTCCTTAAAAAATGATATGAATGAAAGATTGGAGTCTTGTAGCCAAGCTTGTTAAGTCGCCAATTGTCCCAAAAGTTTAACTTGTTAGGAAATGGGCCCAACAATGTATGTCAAACTATTCAACATCCTCCCTCACATGTAACTCTATTTTGCACGTGGAGATGCAAACATACATACATATAGGGAAGTATAATGCAAATGGGAAGCAAATGCAAATGGACAAATTTGAATCCAAGACCTCCCCCAACTTGAGCTTGAATACCATATTAAGTCACCAATTGTCCCAAAAGCTTAACTTGTTAGAAAATGGTCCCAACAATGTATGTCAACTAAGATTTTGGGATTAGTAGTGATCTAACATAGTATTAGAGCTTAGGTTGAGAGAGATCTTGTGTTCAAGTCTCTCTCTTAGCATTTGGTATTTGGTTCCCATTTGGTTTCTTCTTTTATGTTTAGTTGCCTGCTTCACTTTCTATTTGGTTCTCTATTTGTCTCTCAACACGCAAGATGGGATTGCACGTGAAGGAGGATATTAGATAGTTTGATATACATTGTTCGGTCCATTTTTTAATAGCTTAAGCTTTTAGAAGAATTGGTGATCTAACAAAGCCAAGTCAAGTATAACTTCCTTAGAGAAAGTGCAGCATGTCTTCTTTAGAGAAGGAGTTGAGTAATGCAATGTCACTACTAGGATGCTAACTAGTGATACAGAAGAACTAAACCAATGTTGAGTGTTGGCAAGAGTCCTAGTGACAATCATGGTCTAGGATATGTACATGGTAAAGTTGCATCTAGGCCTCCTAAGATTGAATGACATTTGAAGCCAAATACATATATGACAGGCCACACTCCAGCTTGTATATTACAAGAGCATCTTCCAGGTAACACAGTTTTGTAACACTAAACAACAATATTTCTAAAGAGATCAAATGCTTAGAGCAAGCAACTTGCCATATATAAGGATATGAAGAGTTCTAAACAAATGAAATTCTTAAAGAAAAGTAGGGAGAATAATGTCATTACATTGAAAAGGCCTCCAAACCAAAACCTGTAGAAAAAAAATTAGAATGGAAGGAATGAGATAAAAATGCTTTTATATGTTGGTACAACACGTGGATGTTCATATTAGAAAATAATAATTGCTTGGAAGGTTAATGGTTTCATTAAAATAGAAAAATGTAGATCATTCTGAATGGTTTTTGTTTGAACAATACCTTCCTCCAAGGCTATTATTTAAGGCACGCAAAAGCCAGGGTTTAGACCTTTGAGATTCTTCAGCCCAACAAATATGGAACCTACAAAAGTCAGAAATTATTACATACCATAGAACAATGATCCAATTAAGTATGCAGAGGTGTAATTAAGAGAATCAACACAATGCGAACTTTTTAATCAATGTCTCAGTCTCATCCCATGTGTCTAGCTTCCAGACATCGTTCTCAGTGATAGGTCTTTTATAGCCTTGCAGCATGAGTGGGGTCATCCACCCAAAACAAATCCCTACCATATACCAATGCATCACATTAGTGGTATGCAGCTCAATCATTCATAGATTCATCTAACTTGATTATCAGAAGGAAGGTAAGTATAACAAAAGCTATCATCAAATCAAACTTACCATCAAAATTTTTCTCATTCGTAATAATTGTATAATTTGTTTTTCGTAGTCTTAAAATAACATTGAGGTTTCAATTTCTAAATTACAAATTTTATGTTCTCAAATAGATTATCCATAGTAGAGATACTTAATCGATGTAACTGGCCATTAATCAATAGCATAAGATACTTAACACTAAACAAGTAGATATTTCTACAAAATATTGGACGAAACAAAAGAAAAAGTACACTTATCATCTTAACAATATTCTTTACTTTAACAAGGTAAAAGAATTTGTTAAGTATTAGTGTCTAAGGATAGTTATGTCCTTTGTTCCTTTAGTCTTTTATTATAAATGTGTAAGAGGGGAGAATCCTAATATTATCAGTGTGTTAATAAACTCAACCGTTCTAGCATAAGATACTTAACACTAAACAAGTAGATATTTCTACAAAATATTGGACGAAACAAAAGAAAAAGTACACTTATCATCTTAACAATATTCTTTACTTTAACAAGGTAAAAGAATTTGTTAAGTATTAGTGTCTAAGGATAGTTATGTCCTTTGCTCCTTTAGTCTTTTATTATAAATGTGTAAGAGGGGAGAATCCTAATATTATCAATGTGTTAATAAACTCAACCGTTCTCTCTTTTTCTTCTTCCTTTCATTCTTTTCTTTCTCTTATGCGAATATAACATGGTATTAGAGCATTCTTAGAAATCCATTGAGTACGCAAGGAGTCATCACCATCTGGTAGGGGAAGAGACCAAGTAATGTAGCCAGTCAAACGGCGAGCAACAATAGCAAGACTACAGGAGCGTGACCAAATCAGATAGTTGGAACCATCCAGTTTGACGGGACTGATTTAAAGAGAGGGACTATCGTTAAGAGTAATAACATGACAGCGCACCCTCATCACTAACTGTATCCTTAGTCTCACCCTCAACCATTGAAAATTAAGTCCAACAACAAAAAAACAAACACTAGCCTAAGAACCAGCAAAAAACAAACAGAGGCAAATCCATAAACTTAACTTAGGAACAATAGGTTATCTCTAGAGAAAAACAAAGCCGAAACATGGGCTGGAGAAGCAAAAACTGTCAAAAATTGAGAGAAATCTTGCTAAAACTGAGAAAAATCGACAGAAATAGAGCTGAGCCTTGCCAAATCATCAAAAAGACTCCCAACCCTTTGCTCCCAAGGTAAAGGGGGGAAGGAAAAATTCGGGAAAAAAAATAGCCCCAACAAGGACTTCCGAAAAATCAATCAGTTTTTCCAAAAAATAAACAAAAATTGGAAAAACCCTCAAACAATCATCAAAAAAATTAAAATAAAATTCTAGGATGAAAACCCATCAAATTTCAACCATAGAGGATTTTTTATTTATTTTTTGTTAGTATGGATGTCACTTTCCGTGAATCTGAGTCCTTTACTTCTCCTCTGCAATCTCCTCATGGGGAGAGTGTTATGGATGAGATTGCGGATGAGGAGATGGCATATCAGCATGAGTTATCATTTTTTCTTCCTAGTAAGCGGATTGTTATTTGTGGTGAGGGAGAGCCTAATAGTCTTGATGTGGAGCCTGACATTGATGGTCGTTTGGACAAGGTTGATCTTAAAACTTATTCTTGGCATTTGAAAGAACAAACTTCTCTCGTGCCACTAGACCAATCATCGTCCCTCATGTCAGTTCCAGATCCTGTTTCGACCGATTCTACAAATAATGCACCTCAGTCTATTCCTCCACTTGTAGTTGATAGTTCTGTTGTTGATGATTTGAGTCTTCCTATTGCTCTTAGAAAGGGGGTTAGGACTTGTACTCAACACCCCATTTCTAAATTTGTGTCATATGATTCATTGTCCTTTACATATCGTGTTTTTGTCTCGTCTCTGTCTTTTATGTGTATACCCCAGGGTTGGAAAGAAGCTATCAATGATCTTAAGTGGAAAGTAGCTATGGTAGAAAAGATGCAAGCTCTAAGCAAGACTAACACTCGGGAGTTGGTTCCTCTTCCTAGTGGAAAAAAGCCTATAGGGTGTAAGTGGATGTTCACCATTAAGTAGAAAACAGATAGAACAATTAAACGGCACAAAGCACGACTAGTGGCCAAGGGATTTACTCAGACATATGGCATTGATTATCAAGAAACCTTTGTTCATGTAACAAAGATGAATTCCATTCGAGCTATTCTCTCATGTGCGGCTAATTTGGGATGGCCTTTACAGCAGTTAGATGTGAAGAATTCATTTCTCCATGACGATTTGAAGGAGGCTTATATGGATATACCACCAGGATTCTCATCTCAGTCTACAGTTGGGAAAGTTTGTAGGTTGACAACGGCTTTATATGGTTTGAAACAGTCTCCTCGAGCTTGGTTTGACAAATTCCTAAAGGCTATGTTGAGATTTGGGTATAAGCAAAGCAATGCAGACCACACAATGTTTGTCAAACGCAATGCAAATAAGGCAACTATGCTTATAGTATATGTGGATGACATAGTTATGACAGGCAATGATGAAAAGGAAGTGACACATCTTAAGATGTTGTTGGCCAAGGAATTTGAGATCAAAGACCTTGGTTTGTTGAGGTACTTTCTTGGGATTGAAATTTCCAGATCTGACAAAGACATCTTTATTTCTCAAAGGAAGTATATCCCAGACCTTCTTAAGGAAACTGACATGTTAGGCTGTAGACCTACTGATTCGCCAATTGAGGCTAATCACCATCTTTGTAGTAGTGTTGGTGATCTTGTGGAGAAGTAAAGGTACCACAGACTTGTGGGAAATGTGACAACCCCGTCACATATTATGCTTTTAATCCTTTAATTTTGAATGTGCTTATGTGTTTAGTGTGAAATTGAATGCTAATTATGTGTTTAAAATGATTGTTAGATTCATATCTGTTAGCCATAGGAATATCAGTTATGATTTCTGTTATAATCTGAAATTGAAGGCGTTAATGGCGTTAGAAACCAAAACTGATTAGTTTAATGTGAATGGCATAGTTTTTAGAGCCTACTGGGAAGTTTGATGAAAATTTCATTCAGATTAAATTAATTAAAATTGAGTGGGAGCAATTAACCTTAAGCATGCTTAATTAGTCTAAGTTAATTAAGTCTATATATATATGTTGAGAAGGTTATTAAGCTCATTGTTACACTCAAAAATTCTGAAATTACATTCTAGAGAGTGAGTGAGAGAGAGAGAGAAGCAAGAAAACTTGGAGAATTGTTTGGAGAATTGAAGGTTTGTGAAGAGGAGTGGAAGATTTTGCTAGAATTGGTACAATTGAAGACTCTAGGTATGTGATTAATCCTTAATTTATGAATTGAAGTCATCAATATGTGTAATCAAGAAGATAATGAACCAAAATACAAGAAATGAGCTAACAATGATGAATTTGAAGCTAATTCATACATGCATGCATAGAAGAGTGTAAAATCATCATTTTGATCATGAGTTTTATTACCTATGTTAAGTTTAGAAATTGAATTCTACATGCATCCATGAATTATGTTGTTTGGAACTCAATTTCATGTTTTGAAGTTTTGGAAAAGAATTTGAAGTCAATTGAGCCTTGCATGGTGAATTCGTGAAATTTTGAGCATAAGGTTAGAAGTGGGTTTTGTTCTCATGTTTTTGAAGGAGTTAATGTGTTTTAGAACATGTCATACAAAGGTTTTTGGCATTGAACTTGTGTGTTGAAATTCAAACTGTGTTTTGGAAATTCTAGAATTCGACTACATCGCTCGAGCGAACAAGTTGTCGCTCAAGCGTTCATCTCATGCATCCAATAGTTTTGCAAACATTTACAGTTGGCTCGAGCGACCGCCTTTTATTTTGCACTTTGGCTTGAGTGATCATCGAGCTTAGATTCGGACCATCTAGTACTTCTGCAGCCCATGTGGTCCGCTCGAGCGACCAATGTTGCGCTCGAGCAAAGTGCCCTGTTTCAGCATATTTTGAAAAGTTATACTCTCTTCATAACTCCATTCTCATCCCTTTCTGAGCACCCTTAGGCATGTATTGAACATCCTAAATGAATTAACGAGTTAGAACGAGACTTAGAAGAATTGAATAAGTTAATGGTCGGTTCGATAATATGATTCAATGTGTGTATGTGCTTATGTGAATTGTAGGTTCATCTACGAGGACGTGTCAGTAACCAAATTCTTGTGAGTACTATCTTAGTAAAGATATTTTTATGTATCTTATTTTCTAAATGATACCAACGTAGTAAGTTCTCCAAACTTATGATTTTGTGCTATGAATGAGCCTTCTATCTGTCTAATTTGTAAAAGATTTGTAAATGTGATTGACAAGCATGAAAGCATATGATGGACCTAAGGTTCTGGACAATTGAAATGGGCCAAAGGTCGTTCTGAATATCTAAAAAGAAGGACCTAATGTCGTTCCGATTATTTGATTTTTCTGAATATCTGTTATGTGTTAACCCAATGGTCATTATATAGCTATAATTGATTAGACCCAAGGTCGTTGTACCCAAGGTCGTTTCGACAAGTATGATATGTTCTGTTCTATATCTCTGTTTATGTTGGATTCGAGGTTCTGTCATGTATTGAACCCAAGGTCGTTCTGCTATGATACGAATTTAATATGTGAATGATTTTATTTAAGTATTAGAACTCATTCATATAACCTCTTTACTCTGATGTTATTCACTGGGCTTTCACTCACTCTGTCATACATATGTATGTAAGTGAGCAGCGGGATGTCCAACCCCAGTGAATCTGTGAAGTTTACTCTAATTTTTGTGGAGTTAGCCATGGAACACCTCACACATAAGGTTTTTGTTTTAATCTTTGTTTTTGAACTTTTATCTTCTTTTGTTGGTCATGTTTTACCATATCTGTATATAAGTTTTGGTTTTGTTTGATAATGATGTATGAATGATCATGGACATGTGAGATCTTTATATATGTATGGGTGTGAGTTATTAATGTATAAGAAGTTTTTGTTCATGCCATTTATGCACAAGCCCATTGGACAAATTTTATAATTCTGCTGCCACTTCTAGCCCCATATAATTAAATATGATTTGATTTCAGTCTGAGGCCGTAGGTAATCTCATGATTACTGGCCGATTATGATCCAAACCTCTAGGGGTGGGTTCGGGTCGTGATAGGAAGGCTTGTATCTATCTCACAATCAATTTATGCATGATCCTCGTGCACGTCATTTGGATGTAATGTATTGCATTTTGAGGTATCTTAAATCTACTCCTAGAAAAGGGATTTTATTCTCCAATCATAGTCACTTGAGATTAGAGGCATTCACAGATACAGATTGGGCTAGTTCTATAGATGATAGGCGATCTACCTCCGGTTACTGTGCATTTGTGGAGGGAAATTTAGCGACATGGCGTAGTAAAAAGCAAGATGTAGTGTCCAGATCTAGAGCAGAGCCAGAATACAAGACTACATCGCATGGTACATGTGAACTAATGTGGCTTCAATCCTTGTTGAGTGATGTAGGGTTTGTTTGCAGTAAACCCTTGGCACTGTATTATGACAACAAAGCTGCCATTAGTATTGCTCACAATCCTGTTCAGCATGACAGAACAAAGCATATTGAGATCGACAGACATTTCATCAAGGAGAAATTGAATAAGGGTTTAATATGTATGCCTTTTGTGAAATTTGAACACCAATTGGCTGATATATTTACTAAGGGTCTTAGTAGTAAGGTTTTTCACCCCATTTGCTACAAGTTGGACATGAGAGATATCTTTGCACCAACTTAAGAGGGAGTGTTAAGTATTAGTGTCTAAGGGTAGTTATGTCCTTCGTTCATTTAGTCTTTTTTAATAAATATGTGTAAGAGGGGAGAACCCAAACACTATCAATGTGTGTTAATAAACTCAACCATTCTCTTTTTTTCTTATTCATTTTATTCTTGTCTTTCTCTTATGCAAATCTAACAGAATCTTTCTAAATAATATTAATTTTCAAAAAATAAGTTCAGCTATTTTTTTGTTAAAATGTTAAAGAAAATTTAAACATTCATGTAATGTATCTACGGTGTATTACATAATGTATTGTGTATGGTATATTGCATCATGTATCACAAGATATAGGTAGCTCTATTTACATGACAACCTATGAAGCACGGATACTCCGAAATAGCCCTCGTACGCGTATCGGATACGTATCGGATACGGATACGCACCCGATACGGCGGGATACGTATCAGATACGGGAAATGGAGTATCCAATTTTTTTTTTAATTTTTGAATTTCGGATACGGCTCGGATACGCGAGGATACGGTAAGGATACGGTCAAGATACGGTATGGATACGGCGGGACAAAAAAATAATTTAAAAACTTTAAATTGGGGTCAAATTGTAAAATATGAAAAAAATATAAAATGAAACACAAAATATAGAGTTCTTCGTACAGCTAGGTCGAACCAAGGTCGAACCAAACACAAGAACCAAACTCTCTCTTACCTGGGTCAAACAGCAGCCGCGAAGGAGGAGGAGTTCGGAGTTCGTCGTCGTCTCGGACAGCAGTCGCCGATCGTCGATCAGACAGGAGCTCCACGATCGGCTTTGAGGTTCATCCCTCTCTCTCTCTCCCTTTCACTCCCTCTGTCTCCCTCTCATCCCCTCCCCCCTCTCGAGTCGCGATCTCACGAACTCTCTCTCTCTCGAGCTCGATCTGTCTGTCTGGTTGGAGATCGCGACTCGATCTCATCCCCTCCCCCCTCTCGACTCGATCTCATCTCATCTGTCTTTATTTTATTTTAAATTTTTTTTTTTAATTGTTGAATGTATACTCTGCGATTTGCAAATCAAATAAGATTTAAAAAAAAAAACTTATATATATTATTCGGTTTAAATAAAACAAACAAATAAATAAAACAAATAAAACAAATAAATAAATAAACAAATAAGATAAAAAAATAAATAAATAAATAAACTTATTAATAAATAAATAAATAAAATAAGGTAAAAAAACTTATTAGTAAATAAATAAATAAATAAACTGATTAAAAATAAAATTTGTCAACTTATAAAATTATAAACTTTGTAAACTTATTAATAAATCAAATAAGGTAAAAAAACACTTATTAATAAATACATAAATAAACTTATTGATAAATAAATGAACTTTGTAAATTTTTTCCCCCTTAATTTGGGATTGAATTGCATTAGGGTTGTTATGGGTGATGTTATATTGTTAAAATTGTTGAAATTTAATTGAATTGATGAATTTTTTGTTATGGATGATGCATTATGGTTGTTATGGGTGATGCTACATTAATGTTTTGTTTTATTTGTTTACTAAAAATTATTGAAGTTTTATTTTTGTGTATGCTACATTACTAAAAATTATGAAAAAAAATATTTTTTATGAATGTATCCCCGCCGTATCCGTATCCTACTTTTTCGAATTTTGCCGTATCGCAGTATCTATATCGTATCGTACCCGTATCCCGTATCCGTATCCGTGCTTCTTAGATGACAACTTTATCTCCTTATACCCTTTTTCCATTTACGCCCCATAAAAAATTCAAAAATCTTTACTTTATCTCTTTATACATCTCATAATTTAAACATACCATCATCACTAACTTTTCATATCGGGCACCTTTCCAAACCCCAACTCACACGCCCATCTCCGATCATGATCTTTGACCATTGTAGCTACTGTCTCAGACCACCGCAGCCACAACTTCGCAGCCCTCCTCCACCACAACCTTTCCCCCCCCACAACCTTTCTCCACCCCCAACGACTACCAACTGCAGCCTCTACCCCTTGCAACACTCCCAAGCCCGACAACCACCACATCATTGCCATGCTAACCCTAGTGGCCACTGTGTCGCAGCCATCTCCACCCCACTGACCCCCAACCTCATAGCCCCACACACCTCCCTAAACTCAGATCTAGGGTTTTTAGAAAGGAGGAGAAGAGGATCTAAGGTTTTCAAAGAAGAATAAGATGTCATCGGCCTAATAACCTTGAGGTTATGGGTTCAAGTCTAAAGGCCATTACTTTGTGCATTATGCCAAAGGTTAGGTGTATACTCAATCTTTCTCCTCCCAAACACACATTAATGTGTATTAATTGAGCGTTGTTTTTTAATAAGATGTTGTCGGCGGACTAACAGAGCTGAACCAATTGTCTCTATGTAGCTTCATAGTGCCAAACAAATTCCCAATGTTCGAATCTAGTAAATTGAAGCAGAACGAATGGTGTTTGTTTGATTTTTTTGATGCCAAACAGAACGTGTTTGTTCGGAGAGTGACCACTAAACAAGGTGGAGTGGTTCACTATGGAGCCACCCAACAGGTTTGTTGGGGAGGGCGAGTGGGAAGGAGTGGTCCACAAGGTAGGCCGATGGTTATGGGGGAGGGATTGTTGTGGTTCACAAGCATTGGGAGAGGAGTTGCAGTGGTTCGTGACGGTCGCATGGTTGCAGTGGTGGTTCGTAGGGTTGGGAGGGTGGGGTTGTAGTGGTTCATAAGAGGGATGGCGAGTGCGGAAGAGTGTGTGGCGCTGGTGCAGTTGCGTGCGACAATGGCAGTTGAGGCGGTGTTTGAGAAATTAGGGTCAATGATTTGTAGGATTGAGTTTTTGGTAATGTTACATAAGGAGAGAATTGTAATTAAAAAAACAAAAAGGAAATGAGGGGTGTAAGGAATTAAATTTGTGGTGTAAGTAGAAGCACCCATAAGATACATTTAGCATAAGATGGTAAGATATGTATTGGCTATGTGTATCTCTAAACATATCAAATTGTAAGACACTAACCCTCCAAGACACACATGGATAGCATCTACTAATTTTCTAATTGAAGTCCATTCTCTGTCCAAAAAAAAATCATACTGCTAAGATTTCTTTATTATAGAACAAGAACTAGGCCATTTTCAACACTTTGGTATTCTTGGAAAAAACACTAAATAATATTTACTACTTACTGGAAAATATGCTTGCATCCCTCTCTGGACAAACATGCTCTCCTCCAAGAAGTGCTTCATACTCGGTGTCGATAAGAGGGTCATTCCGTATTGGGACGTACCCCGGATAAGGATCCAATTGAGGAATGTAAACAAAAAGAAACACTCCAAACAGAACCTGCACTAGAACAAAAATTACATACCAATATCAGAGAGATTTTCTTTAGAGTGACTTAAAAATAAAACCAGAAACTTTAAAATCCAGACCATTTTGGTTTGAAAAATGTTATGCTTCCATACAATGCAGTCATCCTGATTTGGCATCAGCCTTCTGGATTTAAATTTTAGTGTCTAACAAGTATTGGCCAGTGTGTGTCAGCAAGAGATAATGAATCCCATGAGCCTAGAAGGATCAACATAGATACAAAAGCAACAAACCTGAATGAAAAGTGTGATGAGGTATATATGCAGCACAGATCTGCACAAATAAATACAATTATGAGTACGCATATGCCACTGAAAGTTACAAAAGAGGAATTCCATACCAAAGCCACATGCATCCTAACCAAATAGTTCTTTAATTTTATATGCCAAAGCACAAGGATTGATTTTGTTTCTGATCTGACATTTTGATCAACTTGGGGAAGGAAAGAGTTTGAAAACTTAAGGGAAATGGAAATAAGTTTTGGAAATGCACAAAATAGAACAAGTGAGCAATCTAGGAGTAGTTTTTCAATCAGTAAATGAATTTCAAGCACAATACATAGGTACCAACAACAAAGGATTACAAATTTATTAAAAGCATACTGACCCTGTGTAGAAATCTGTCACTGAAAGAATGAGATTGAGCATCACAGCATCCCCCACCAACACATATGCAACTCCAAACCGAACATACCACCGGAACTCTCTGATGTAGATTCCAGTTTCTATTCCAAGCATAACCAACATGGAGCACCAAGCAAGAGCCACAATGATCAATGAAACCATCTGTAAGAGATAAGACATTATTTTACAAATAAAGTTGCATTAAACCATCACATCGCCTAAACAATTTATAATCTACATGCCATTAAAAATAAAAATAAAAATAAATAAATAAATAAATAAAACTGGGATAGACATTCCAACTAACATTGCAATTCATTAATGAGAAAATAAATAAAATAAATGATATTAATAACAACAATAAAAAAGGCGACCTAGTGCATGAGACTCTTGCTACAACAAGGTTTGGGAAGGGTAAGACGTCCACAGCCTTACTCCCATTTCTAAACTATTTCGATGACTCAAACTCACGACACCTTTTAATGCCAAAAGCAAAGTGCAAACCAAATTTTGATGTCATTACATTAGAAAACCTACAAACGAAAACTTAATTTTAAAAGCATGCTAAGCGTTAAAGGAAGTCCTATCAAGCAAACTTCATCTCTGAATAAAAGAACACCCTATTTTGGTACTCATATACTTCAAAACATGATTGTAGTTGGAACCTGTTATGCTCCAGAGGTGCCCATTACATGCCCAAGTTGAACACTCATGAAGCAAAAAAAAAAGAAAAAAGAAACATGTTTCGTCTCATGTATCCAATGTGATGTGGTACGGGTATGGCATTTTTTTTAAGTACACGTGCTTCATATAGGGGGTACTAATGACAAGCCTTACTGTTGGGCCAAGCAGCCCTTAAAAACAATAATAATAATAATAAAGTGCGTCTTATTTCAAAGTTGTGACTTTTACTTTTACTCTTTTTGTCTCTTTGGTAAGTGTGAGAATGAAGTGATCATCTGATCTAAGAATAATTTCTACAGTCAGTTTGTCATTTTGAAATTGAGCACAGAAAATTTGAAAACAGAAGGGAAAAAAGAAAAACAAAAATGTTCAGCTTATTCATGGTTGCCAAGACATTATAGATCAGCTTTAGTCTCTCGTTACCAAAATAGCAGAAATTAGAAACTAAGGCACCACAATGACCAAACAGACAAGATCCCATATAAGGGAAAAAGAGAAGCATAAAAAAAGGATCATAGATATAAAGTTATTGCAAAATAAATTTAGATATCTAACAACCAATGTCTTTAAATTGTCCAAAACCAATATCAAAGAGCATAATTCCTTTTCCTCTCATTCTAATCATAATAACTCTCCTTCAGCAATAGCATCACACTCCTAAATCCTTGTGAGCCTCAACTTCAGTTTATATGTGAAATGAAGCATTCCATCCAATCCTTTAATCACTAAAAATATCTTTTTGCACAAAAGAAGAGTATGGAATTTTTATAAAAGATAGATGCATGAGATGTACAGTACATAACTGGGAAGAACATGCAATCCATATGCAATACCATTGGGGGGCAATACCTAATCACGTTTAGAAGATAATGATAGAAGAAAAGCCAGTAATGGAGTGCCCTTTAACTGAGGTAAATGCAAGACCAAAATGCTATTTAGTGACTCTCTCGTCTCTAAAGATTTAAACCAAGCTATCATGTCATATCTTCACAATACTATGTTCTTGTTTCTTGGATGCTTAAGATTAATGCAGAGAAAGTCAGCCACCACAAATTTTGATACTTCAGAATCAAGATTCCCTGACCCTGCCTCCCACAAACCCCCATTTGGAGCTAGGCATTGCATCAGCCATGTAAAATCATCTTGAGAATGCAAACTGTCTCAAATGTAAATGTCCATGAGGATGGCTAACTGAATCTTACTTGGCGTTGTAATGTTTTGAATTGTAAGCACGGAAAAAAGATTGAAGGAAGTAACATTGTAAATAATGAACAAGATTTACATGGAGGAAAAGATTTTTTTCCTAGAAGAACTGTATTCACTAGGACTTACTTCACTTTAAAGCCCAAGTTCAGCTTTATTTGCTTTTAGAACCAAATACACATGAATGCTCTTCCATGGCAGATATTTTCATACTAAAAAATTACTCTCAACGTCTTAGGCAAATGTCTAACTTCGGCTATTAATTAGCTGCACATTTATGGATGCCTCGTAAGCTTGCATGTTGAAACACATACAAGCCAAGATTACACATTTAACTAGTTAGATGCATTTAAAAGACAAGAAAAGAAACTATAAAATCAGATCGCATATTATTCAAAGTAAAGGAATGTTAGAATTGAAAGAAAATTGTAAATAGAAACTGCATGATAGTAAACAACGAACCTCGAAGGGAGCAAGACCTGCCTGTCCTTCCAAATTAAACAATGAAATGCCCATAACCAGTCTAAACAAAGGCTCAGCAGCACAATAACCAGCCAAGAGAACCAACACAAAATTGTAGTATTTTGATCTGAGTTGGTACCTCTGGACTTTAAGATCATTTCTAATTAGCCAAATTCGGTAGAAGCACAGGCCCAGAAGAACCAAATGAGATATACAAACCACAACAGAGTCAATGCCACATGGTGTATAAGCACCAAAAGCACTATCTGTCACTGTTGCCCAAATCCCACCTTTAACTGGCTGACAATACCAAACCAAAGGCTCAAAACCCATTTTTAATTATGTTCACCACCAAATAATTTTAAGTAGTAGAGTATTTAGGTATTTGATTGGGTTTTCTGTTCATCCAATCCTTCCAGAAATAAACTCCCTGCACCTCTGCTCTGCAGTAATAGCAAACCATAGAGTCTTGAAATTAATTAATAAAAAATGAAGAAGTCATATTTATGCATATTAAAAATCAAACTTGTAACTCCACTGACATAAATTGAACTCTACTTGGAACTAAAACAAACAAACAGGCATTGGTATCCACTTGACCCTCCCGTCTTTTGGTTTCCAAGAAAAGTTAGAAAACAGAGGAGAATACAAGGGAGTAAAACTCTATTGAAATATTTTCTGTTATTTTTGGTTTCAGAAAATGGATATACAACAAACATGGAGATACAAACACACTCACTCAAAACAGCAACTGTCCAAAATGGAAATGTTGATCATTTGGCTACTGATATGGGTCGTAAAGCACTCAAAAATTCAACACCCATGTTTTCTCTACAACCAAATAGAAACATGAAGAACAGTGAGCAAGAGAAAATACCTCTGAAACACTGCAGCTTTAAGACTAGTAGATTGTTTAACCTGACATGCATGTAATGAAAGTGTAGGCTTCAAATATGTCTCTCTCCTTCCCTAATGCATCGGATAATATGCGTCTCTTTCATCGGATAAATGCGTCTCTTTCTTTGCGATCCAACTACAGAAAAATGGTTTTCTTGTACCATAAATAAAGGTGAAATACCACTCCAAACCCACTTTAGTCCCCGAAAATCATCGGTTTTGTAGGTGTTGACTTTTTTTAGAACAGGTGGTGACCTTTTATGCGATGAGTTTTACATCAAATTGTTTTAAAATACAGAAAAAAAAAAAAGAAAAAAAAAAGAAAAGTAACACTAATCTTTTTTAGGATTTAAAAAATAGATTGACTCCATAAAATTTGACATAATTATATTAGATTTTTTTTTAAAATTTAATTTACATAACATTTAATTCATTTATTAATAATATTTTGTTAATTGTATGAATAAAAAAATAATATTATTTCTTTAATATTGAAATATTATTTTATCCTTTTTTATTCTTGTCTTTACATACAATATGCATTAATTACATTTGTTTTAATTTTACTAAATGGGAGATCGGTGTAACTATATTAAATTTATAAGATTTATTATATTTAATAGTAAATAAACTCACAACAAATGATAAGTAGAGTCACATTTTAAGTTGTCCTATTAGAATTGTACATGGTTCGATTTGGTTTATTTAAGAATAAACAAATGACTAAATGACCAAACTACTTACGGATTCATGAAATTTGGAATCAAATCATAAAAATTTTACAATTAAATCAAACTAAACTAGTAAAACGAAGTTCTATTCGGTTTGGAATTACATTTTTCGCAACATAATAAAAAAATATCACTCACAACCTATTTGAATATATGTGCTATCATTTTGAAAACAAAATTATTTTAATTGATTGTTTAGAACTAATTCAACATTATACAAAATCGCACTTGTAAACCTATAGAATTAACAATTTATGTACAAAAATCTGGTAATAATCAAATGAGTGTGTACAGTAAATAATAAATTATATATATATAAACGGATCAATTTGGTTCCAAATCATAATTGTAACTATAAAATTACGGACCAAATTGTGAAGTATGGTTTGCCAATTTTTAAAATTAAGATCAAATCATGTATTAAAAAAATCAAATCAAACCATGTGATTTAGTTTAAGATTGAATGTTACTTACCATTCATTGATCAAACTCTAAAATTGTGTGATCAAATTTTAAATTAATTTTGAGTCATACAATACTAAGTTATTTTACTGATAAAGTTATGTCTTGTTACAAGAAGTTACAAGTAGATTAGTAACAAATAGTAAAGTCACAATGCTTGGTAAGTAGAATTCAAACGAATGGTAAGTATTATGCTTATAAATGATAAGTATTTAATAATATTTTATTTATTACTCAATTAGACCTCAGTTACTCCTCAATCAGATTCCACTTACGACTTCCTTATACTACATATTACTCAATCAAACTCACTTATTAATGATATGTAGAATCACAATAAAAAGTAAATATTATGTTTATGAATGATAACAATGATCTCAACATCAAGTTATACAATTTATCTTAGTAGCGATGATGATTTCTAAGTGCATCGTGTTGGGTATACATCTTTATTGGAGTGTGGGACCCAATTGATTTATTAAAAGAGTTTAATTTGATTTGGTATTAGTTATAATATATTTTTATATATTATAGCTAATTTGTGGAGACCCAATCCAATTTGATAACAACTAGAGTTTTGATAAAACAAAACCAAGATTTAACAATATATAAATATTGTTTTAGTTTTCGTGTAATCCGAAGAAGGCAACATAGTGCTTGGTGCAAATTGATTCAATTGGTGAGAAGTTTTGCTGGGTATTTGACTTGGTCAAATTCAAGATTGGTGCCTTGGTTGCTGCTCTGTTTTGAAACTTTTGGTTTGGTGTTCGGTGTTGATTTGGGTTATTATTTTAGGTCTTCTACAACTCTGTTTCGAAGATTTTTGTTTATCTATTTGGTGAAGTTTTTCCCCTTGTTTATTTGTAATTATTTGGAATTCACCTAAGGGTGGTTTTGTGAGACCATTCGTGTCTCGTTTGTAATCGTTTGAAAATTTTTTGATTGATAGTGGAATTAGATTTCGATCCTGTGGGCGTACCTCACATTGAAGGAACTATGTAAAATTCTTGTGTTACTTTTGATTTAATTTTTCGTATTAATTTTTATTCCTATTAATTGATTTGCTTGTGGAAAATCATATTTTCCCTAACACATCCAACAATGGGTATAGATCTATTAAGAAAAACATAATATAAAATCTAGCGTGGCTTTTATATATTTCAATTCTAATAGTGCCATCATATAAGGATCCATTACTGATTTTTTATGTTAAATTTTCAAATTTCTTTGATGATTGTGATGATGTTTTTGTAAATTATTTGCCAAATTACTCATGTGTTCATAGCAAAGAACTATGTTGTCATAAACATGGTGAGTATAGTTACAATGGATGGTAAGTGCTATCTAAATGAGTGATAAGTAGAATTACAATCAATGATATGTATTGTCCGAATAAGTGGCTTACTACTCAATTAAAGTACACTTATTACTCAATTAAATCTCACTTTTTACTCAATGAGACTATTTACTACTTCATTAGATTTTGCTTACTATTTAATAAAATCTCACTTACTAGTCCGTCAAACTTAACTAGTAAGTTTAAAATGAATAGTAAGTTGTTTCATAATAAATAGTAAGTTTAAAACAAGTGGCAAGTAGAATCAGAAAAAATGGTAAATAGAATCAAAACATATGGTAAGTATTGTGTTTATAAATGGTAAATACTTGGTCTTCCACTTATTACTTAATTAGACCCCACTTACTACACAATGTTCCTTTACTTACTACTTTATCATATTTGACTTGTTAGTTAATCCACCAATCTCATTATTTTTGGTCTCTTCCTATTTTATTAAATTTTACTTACTATTTTATTAGATTTCACTTATTACTTCATTATTTTGGCTTATCATTTCATTTAATCATACTAATCGATGAGACTCCACTTACCTTTTTTTACATTTTACTTGCCATTCAAATAAATCTTACTTACTACCACTTCATTAGGCTTGACTATCACTAAAATAAACCTTACTTATCACATCTTTAGACTTTATTTATCACTCAAATAAACCTTATTTATTTCCGCTTAAATAAACTCTACTGACCACTTTTTTACACTCTACTTATTATTCAAATAAACTTCACTTACTACCACTTTAGTAGACTTGATTACAATATTTTAGATATTAAAAAATATTATGAAGAAAACTTATGAATTTTATGAAGAAAAAATTATTTCATTATGGATACTAAACTAATAAAAAAAATTATGAATCTATAAAAGTTTCTAAAAGATTTTTTTGAAGTGTTGTAGGTATACCAAAAAAAAGTAACTATTTTAAATTAACGTTTTTAAAAATAAGTTTATATAACTTACAATTTAAAAACATTTTTCTTATAATTTTTTATTTATTTTTAACATTATATTGAAAATTAATTTTCACAATAATGACTATTTTAAAATATTAGTAATTTTAACATATTTTTCTCATATGTATGGATGGATGGAAATGAATGCAAAAATGAAGAAAGAGCATGTATGTATGTATGTATCTATGGAATATAAAGAAAAGGCTAGAGAGAATAAGAACACATAATGGCCCAAAAAAAAAAACACAGAGCGAGAAAAACACATAAAAAAGGGAATGCAAGCGTCACGGCTTACGAACGACCCTCAATATAAATACACGATGGGCTAATGACATGAATCACAATAATGTGAAATATAACAACTTGTTTTGTCTTCATTTGTTCCCACCATTTTTAGTTATGGGCAGGTTTGTCAGTTTATTTTGTAAATTAGATAATATTTTTAAATCTATGAAATTTATTACGGATTTTGTTTTAATAATTCGAATTGTTTAATATGTAAAACTCATCGAATATTTTATCTATGTGAAAAATCTTATTGATCAGATATCAATAGCTACTTGATCGGATCAGATTTTGATCAACATTTATTTTAAAATTTATATCTACCTTAGAGAGAAATCTGATCCGATCAAATAACTATCGATATCCGATCAAACACGAGAACTCATTCCCAAGAAGCAAACTAATCAAACAAAGCAAAACCCTTTTAACATTACAAAATTTGTAATTCAAGGCAATAAACACTTGGTTTAGGACTGGAAGATTTGGTTGAGGAATTTCATCGAGCAGTTTACTCAATTCCCAAATCAAAAGGCCATAATCCAACATTCAAATTGTTTATCAGATTATCAAAAAGCCCTAATTCCAACATTTTACAATGTTTATCAGATTGTCAAAAGTCCTAAATCCTCATTCAAAAAAAGAAAA